GTGTGCAAACAGCATAGGGACAGAAGTGCGCCAGCAGAAGTAGTCAAAAGGTGTTTTGGCACAAAAGAGGAAAAGCTCACTTCTGCTTGGAGAAGGAGAGTAATGAAGGGTTTCACGGAGGAGAAAACCTTTAATCTGGGGGCAGAAGGATGAAGGCTACACTTTTTCATACCCTCCTATGAGATCAGGAGAATGCAATCAAGATCAACCCAAAATGCCTGGCCAGGAAACAGCTTTTCAGGGCTTTCCCCATCTCTGCTTTCCTCTTGGTTATTTCACTGCTGTTTAGTATTATCGATAAAGGGGTAAGGGAAGTGGAATTATTTTGTTTCTGCTGAGAAAAGAGGGAAAAAAATTGGTGGAGGAAAGATTAAAAAAATAGAGCACAAAATTTTTTTTAAGCCGGAGTTGCTTTGTTTAATTGATTTTTATTAGTCCCAAATTATTTTCTAACTTTTATGCTTCTGAAATATTACAACTATGCAAATTTTAATAAATAAAAAGTGAAAATCCTTTCCATTCCACCTCATCCATTCCCCAGGGACAGCACTGTTAATAGTTTGATGAGCATCTTTCTAGATTTTTAATTTACATTTAAATCTACAACTACTATACATATATATATTTTGTTTGTTTGTTTGTTTGTTTGTTTTTTTGTGAGGAAGATCAGCCCTGAGCTAACATCCATGCTAGTCCTCCTCTTTTTGCTGAGGAAGACCGACTCTGAGCTAACATCTATTGCCAATCCTCCTCCTTTTTTTCCCCAAAGCCCCAGTAGAGAGTTGTATGTCATAGTTGCACATCCTTCTAGTTGCTGTATGTGGGACGCCGCCTCAGCATGGCCGGAGAAGCGGTGCGTCGGTGCGCGCCCAGGATCTGAACCCGGGCCGCTAGTAGCGGAGCGCGAGCACTTAACCGCTAAACCACAGGGCCGGCCCGTACAACTACAATATTTTAAGACATAAATGAGATTGTGCCATCCATATTGTGATACACAGCATCTGCAACTTGCTTCTCTCTCCCACCCCTCCCCCCAACTCTCTACATCATGAACGTTCTTAGAACTATTCTTCAAAGAAAATGTCATTATGTGATACAGAGAAGATTGCTGTAGCAATAGAAAGATATTGCTTTGAGTCAATAGAAAAATTCGTACAGGCAAAAACTCACCTCCTCCGAGAAGTCTTCTCTGATCAACTCTGCTTTGATTCTTTTCAGTCCTCTCCTCTGAATCATCCAATAGTTTTATGTATTGTTTCTATATAATATTTGGCCCCTGCTCGTAAACATGTTCCTTTGTCTTATACTCAGGCCCTTTTGGTTGCAAAGAACAAAGACCCCGTTTTGTAAGAATATGCATGAACTGGAAAGTTCAGCAACAAAAGGACTGGTCTTTCTTGGTGTGCTTGCATCTTCCTTTAATCTGTTCCAGTCTTCTCACTTGCTCGGTTGGCTTCTTTCCTTTACTAATGCTTCTGTTCCCTCACCGTTTGGCTTCCATTCATTCATTCATTCAGCAAATCTGGATGTCGACTACATGCCAGGGTTGGTTCTAGCACATACAGTTTGGCTTGCTCTAATGCTGACTCCAAATCATGGCCTCCTTTAACTCCACTTATCAAATTCTCCCCACGTTTCTTAGTTCAAATTCCTAACAGTGAGAAAGTGATCGTCCCAGTTCATGCCAGGCCAAACCTAGAAGGCTGGACATACTGTCGCTCAGTGCCTGTTCATCCAGACAGATGTGGCTGGAGAAGAGGGATGGAGGACTGTGGGCAGGATAGCCCTTCACAGCCCTAACCTGTCCAGCTCACTCCATGAGTGTTCTCAGGTCTGACCTGTGCACTGGTGTCATCTCCCCAGCCAGAGCGTAAGTCAATGAGAACTGTCTCTACCGAGATCTGCACACTGTAAGTGATCAATAACCAATGTTAACACAATTAATCTTTCCTTTGCAAGGAGTTGGGCTCGCTGTGGGCAGAGGGCGAGAATCACAACCTCCCTCTCGCTCAAAGAAAGCACAGCCATTTATCACACATTCCAGAACAGCAGGGCACATCAAACGAGTTCTAACGCTCTTGGTGTTGTAAAGGTGAAGAGAGATTCAGAACCAGAGGAAAATTATAGGTGAGAAATATAAAGCGAGTGTCAGTTTTAAGTTCTTCTACGTGGAAATAAAAATTAAGCATTTCAAAGGGAATTCTAGACCTGGGCAAAAGTCCTTTTCCCTGGACTCAGGCTATTTTAATTCAACAACTATCCTTAAATGCTCAGGTCACAATTCCTATTAATACACAAAATTTGTAGAAGAAATTATAATACAACACAGCACTGATGATTCAGGAAAGAGAGTTAGGAGGTTAAAACATAATTTGTATCTAGTATCTTTTCAATAGAAACTTTTGTCAAGGGTGGTATAGAGAATTGATGTCAATTATATATGAGAAATAGTTGGTGGCAGGACTGCTGCTCGGATGGTTTTCTGCCCCATCTTTTCGTATTCTTGTCACCGTTCTTCCAAGTCTGTTCTTTTATTTCAGAGGACTTCGGCTAAACTTCAGTGGATTTGAAATTCCAGTTCAAATAAAATAACTAGGTGGCTTGAGGAAGTGGCTGACTAATTATCCTGTGGTGGGAGGGCAGGAGGCGTTAATCCTCAGAGCCACCACCAGAATCCTGGGTGCATCCCGAGAGCCAGGCAGCCACATGGTCCCTTCTGCAAAGGGCCTTGGGAGAGAGGAGCCTAGAGAAATATTAGCTTGCCTTAGCCTGACAGCGGGCACAGGGGAAGCCATCTAAAGAAGGAAGCACGGGGCCGGCTCCGTGGCTTGGTGGTTAAGTGCGTGCGCTCCGCTGCTGGCGGCCCGGGTTCGGATCCCGGGAGCGCACCGACGCACCGCTTCTCCGGCCACGCTGAGGCCGCATCCCACATGCAGCAACTGGAAGGATGTGCAGCTATGACATACAACAATCTACTGGGGCTTTGGGGGGAAAATAAATAAATAAAAAAAAACTTTAAAAAAAAAAAAAAAAAAAAGAAGGAAGCATGTAGAAGGGATGAGAGTCAGTGTCTGCTCATCCGTGCTCTCCTCATCCCTCCTGCGCCATTTGTTTTAGCCGAGGCTCTCACCTCTTGCTCAGGCTCGTCAGTGGCTCCCAGCTGGCTTCCCTGCCTCCAGGGTAATGCCGCTGTCCTCCCTCCACACCAGCACTCACTCTTCTTTCAAATGATCAAGTGACTCCTCTGTTCAGAAAATGTTGCTTTCTCGTGGCCCCCCTCTCTACACACAAATACCCCAAATCCTTCACGGGACATTTGCATTCCGATCCCAGCGGATTTTTATAACATCGCCTTCCCCTACTGCCTGCCATGCCACACGAGCCTCCTAAACCATTCCAGCCTCCTTGTTTCTTTTTTCTACCTTCAATGTCACTGACACCCCAACATCCACATCCGTCCTCGTCATCCTTCTGTCCCTCCCCTTCCCACAGCCCAAAGAGGAAGTTCTCCTCCCTGTTACCATAGCACTTAGGTTATACTTCTGACCGCAGTTATTGTTGTTGTTCATAGCTTTCTTTCCTCCATTCACATGAGCATTTTCAGGGCAGGACCCTTCTGTCACTCATTCATCTTCCCCCCCATCACCTAGCAAAGTGCCCATCGCAGGTGCTTAAAAAGTGGTCTACCATATGATCCAGCCATCCCACTGCTGGGTATTTATCCAAAGAACTTGAAAACACCAATTTGTAGAGGTACATGCACCCGTGTGTTCATTGCAGCGTTATTCATAATAGCCAAGACTTGGAAGCAACCTAAGTGCCCATCAGGGGACGAATGGATAAAGAAGCTGTGGTATATATACACAATGGAATACTACTCACCCATAAGAAACGATGAAATCCAGGCATTTGTGACAACATGGATGGACATTGAGGGTATAATGCAAAGTGAAATAAGTCAGAGGGAGAAGGTCAAATACCGCATGATTTCCTTCATTAAGTAGTAGATAATAACGACAATAAACAAACACATAGGGACAGAGATTGGATTGGTGGTTACCAGAGGGGAAGGGGGGAGGGAGAAGGGTGAAAGGGATAATTCAGTACATGTGTGTGGTGATGGGTTGTAATTAGTATTTTGGTGGTGAACATGATGTAATCTATGCAGAAGTACAATGATGTACACCTGAAATTTTTACAATGTTATAAACCAATGTTACTGCAATAAACAAAAAATTAAAAAAAAAAAAGTGGTTTTCTAAAGAAGGATATCCATAGAGACAATTGTCTTTTAAATATTTGATGTGCTTTTGGACTAGATATAGATAGCTTCTAATGTGTTAATCCTGATAACAGGTTTCTAATATCACCATGTTAGTCACCTGAGCAGCAAAATAAAAATAACATTAATCTGTGTTACATAGCAATTAATGTGCAAGAACAAATAAATATTTCAAGTCCCAGGAAGAAGAATGGTTGGGAAGTTGGCAAAGTGAATCCAAACTCCCTTTTCAAGCACTTTGAAGAAAAATGAGGGGTAGTTCTCCAGTGTCAAGACTCAGGTCTTGGGTATCTCTCTTTGCCTGAATTTGCTTAGAAATAAAAATAGTGGATTGGATTATACCTATGCCTCCTCTTTTAACTCTAAAACTTGATTATTCCAATAGTTCTGTTTAACAAGTGTTAAATATTACATAAATGGTTTTTTTTTGTGCTCAACTTAGCAATAAAAGCTACATTAAAAGACCTGTTTTTACCAATGCTCCAAAGCATGTCCTGAAGTTCATTTGACTTCTAGTAACGGATGTGCAAACACATTAAGTGATCACTTCCACAACTGTTCTGTTTCTTTAAGAGACCTCGGTTGTTAAGCTGGAAGATCATTGAACCATATGAGGGTCAATAAAAAGTCGCTGGTTAGTGATTTGAGTACAAGGAACTGGATCCTAGTTCAGTATCTGTGTCCGTATGCTGCTCGTGAACAAAGGGGGAGCGTTTGATCCTCATACTTCCTCGGAATGGCTTCTGGAAAACTAATTAAGCTCCTAGTTTTTGAGCTCCTTGAGTTTGCTGCTTTCTCCATTCCCACACTTGTGACTGTGGAACAGTTTGCCACTGCCTATCAAAGGACCACGAATATGCCTGGGAGAACTTATTATTGGCTGATTGTTTCCTGTTCGATTGCCTATGTGGCTTTAGTGACTCTGTTGATTTGGATTCCCATAAAAGTTCTCTTATACAAGAAGCGTCATCTTTACAAAAAAGTTAAAGGATGGTAAGTAAAAGAATTCTTTAGTGGGGAAATCCCTGTGATGCTTTCAAAGATATTTTCTCATGTACTATATGTAAGGATGTTAGCACAGCACAAATGTACAACATGCGAGATTATTGAGAAGTAATCATCACCATTTCTATAAATGTATTGATAATATGGTATCTTCCATATTTTTATAGGATCGTTTTTACTGACTGATAATAACAAATTACATGTGCTCATTAGATTGCAGTTAGCGTGAGTCTATGATACCCTGAGTAGTAAATGTTGGACCTGATTCCTCTATACACAAAACTGCATAAAGTTATCACAGTTAATTTACAGAAATCATAGTTGCAAGATTATAATATAGAATTTTACTTTTGTGCAAAACTGAAAGTACTGTCTATTTTTAAATTTTTACATTGTTTTGCAGGTCTAAGGTATCCTTTGACTATTAACCAACTTAGATTTTTAAGCAACTGGTTCCTTTACTTAGATTTTAAAAAATAATACTTTACTATGTTGGCAAATTCTATTACCCTGGTGGTGAGGAGGAAATACTTCAATAGTAATACAGAAATATTTTCAGTAAATTAAGATTTAATGTTGATTTAACTGACAGTTTACCTAATGACTGTATTGATCCATGTTAAGGCGTTGAGAACAAATAATCTCTGATACTAATTTGTTTTTCCTTATAGATCTTCAGATCTGATTCTTACTCATCTGGGATTTCTTTAATAAGTTAAATTTCCTTTTATATTGATCTTTTATTTTAAAGTCGACCAACATAGAACAAGTTTGAAAAGGAAGGAGCTGGGAATTTTAACACAAGCAAGGACAGAAATGTAAAAATAATAGATACAGCAGTATAGCTAGAAATACTGTTGGGAGGGTGCAGAAGGGGAGAGCTGAAGTGTGGCATTCACGAAGCACTCTTTAGGTACTGATACCAAATGCGACCCTGCCAACCTTGCCAGGGGACTTTCAGTTCCCCATGAGCAGAGCTCTTGAGGGGTTTCCAGAAATAAACCATTTGGTTGGCGCTCCTTTTATCAGCGGGATTTAGGGGTTTTCCAAACCTTCACCCAAAGCCTCAGGATCACCGAAGGGGTAGGTTTGGAGCTGTGCTGGGTCCTCCACCCCTCACACCCCCTAGGAGTTTCTCTGACTGTCCAGGACTCCTGGCTGGGCTAGGAAGTTTTGAGGGAACGGTGGGAGGTCTGGATGGCCACAGGGATAAACCACTGAGAAGCTGGCCCTTGCCAACCCGGGAAGGCACTCTTTGATCTTTTTTTACATTGGCTCAAATCCCTAGGACCCTAGGTTCTGACTGTCATTCAGGCAGCGAACCTTCCCATATCACTTATTATTATTATTAATATTTATTATTAAGCTATAATTGCTTTTTACTGATCACTTATTGTGTGTCATGAGACACATGTATGAATTTCATTTCATTCTGTACCACCTTGTGTAGTAGATATTTTCATGAGTTTATCATTATTTCTAAGAGGAAACTGATGATTAGAGAGGTTAAGTAACTTTCCCAGTCAGTTAACTAGTGAGTGGAAGGCCAGACTTTGGAGCTAGGTCTGTCTGACTCTGTAACTGGTACTTTCAACGACTACCATAAACTGCCTCTTTGAAGGGTGAGGTCCCAATCTCCTGCGGCAATCGAGAACAAGGAAGAGAGTAGTCTTTCATTTCCACTCCCCCGTGCACGTGTTTCCTTTCGTACGTCTGGTCCAGGTACTTCCCTGGTGCTAAAGCATCTTAGGCTGTCACAGCAATATATCTTTCAGTGATTTCTTTTGGGAAATACCCTTCCGGTCTTTTGTTTCTGTTTGTGGGTGTGTGTGTGGTCACAAGTGTTGGAAACAGTTTTAGATGTAGGACAGGTTATCTGTAATTTCACTGAAACTGAAACTATTTATCATGGCCTCATTCATGAGCACTATCATATCGTTATCTCTTAATGGCATAGAAGAGGAGAAGTCATTACTGAGCACTATTCTAGGAGCTTTATGCATTCTGTACTATTATATTTAAACTTTACAACAACCCAGTGAGGTACGTGCTAGTGTTCTCATTTTCTAGATGACAAAATGGAAATTGAAAGAAGTGATTAACTTTGGTGGGGCTGGGATTTGTGAGCCCAGATTGATCTGATTCTGTGCTATTTCCTTTATCTTGTGCAATTTTTCCTTTATTCTTTCTGACTTTGAATGCCAAGTGTGTTTCAAGAAAAATGCAGCTCTTTCAGTGTCAGCTATATTGTTGATGAGCCTGTATGAGTACCTCCCTGTAGGTCCACGTTAGCATCATGAGCCTTGTGGGGCTGGTCTTCAGGAGAAAGTGAGTCATCCAGCTAGCAAAGGGTGTGGCCTGGCAAAACAGCTGAGAGACGCAGACCTGAGTTCACATCTCAGCTTTGACACTGACTGTCAGACCTTGTGTGAGTTCTTTAAATTCTTTGAATTTTAGTTTTCTCATAGCAAAACAGGGACAACCTAGTTTCATCGTTGGAGTGTTGTTTTGAGAAACTGAATAAGATTGTACATGTTGAGTTACGAGCATTGTGCCTGGCACATAGTGAGGACTCAATGAGTTATTACTTCAGGCTGAATTTAGTATTTCTATTTAAAACATGATCTTGGGGCCAGCCTGGTGGTGTAGTGGTTAGATTCATGTGCTCCGCTTCGGCACCCCGGGGTTCACAGGTTCAGATCCCAGGTGTGGACCTGCACACTGCTTGTCAGGACATGCTGTGGCAGCGTCCTACATGCAAAATAGAGGAAGATTGTCACCGATGTTAGCTCAGCGACAATCTCCCTCAGCAAAAAGAGCAGGACTGGCAACAGGTGTTAGCTCAGGGCCAATCTTCCTCACCAAAAAAAAACAAAAACAAAAAACGTAGTCATGTTTAATCCTCAGAATGACTCTGAGAAGTGGTAGAAGTGATGATAAAACTGAAGAAAATGGTATGCTATAAGTGATACTCTTTGAGTTTGAAGAATCTCCTATCTCTTTTATTCTTTGAGAATAATGAGGGCCAATATAGTGATATCACAAATATTTTATTTTATTTTTTTTGGTGAGGAAGATTAGCCCTGAGCTAACATCTGTTGCTAATCCTCCTCTTTTTGCTGAGGAAGATTGGCCCTGGGCTAACATCCATGCCCATCTTCCTCTACTTTATATGTGGGACGCCTGCCACAGCATGGCTTGATAAGCAGTGAGTGGGTCTGCGCCTGGGATCTGAATCTGCAAACCCCCGGCCACCAAAGCAGAGCATGCAAACTTAATCACTATGCCACCAGGCCATCCCCTACAAATATCTTATATTTTGCATATACACAGTGCTTTTGTGTTTCATTTTCGCTCTTGACCTGCACTCCAGTATTGTGAAGTTGACTGTGTGCATATAATTCCCATTTTATAAGGCAAGAAACAATGTCAGAGAGCTTGACATACATCTTAAGTCAACAGTAAAGTCTGAACTTTAATCCAGTGCTCTTTCCTTCACTCTTGTTAAACACTTACTCATTCTTTTAGAATGATTGTTTCTTTTTAGGGATGTTTGTCATAATTCATAATAGACTGGGGAGATGGCTCAAGGAATGAAGAAAAGCTATTCATACACACACCAAATTGTATATCCCCGTAAATAAGAGAAATCCTTTCCTGAGATATCAGCGAATGTGGGAAACCATTAAGCTACAAGCCTGGCCCGAAACTGGCGCAGATCTCCATGGAGAGGGTACCCTGGGGTGGGATAATCCTGGAGGACTTCTGGGGATTCCCAGACTGCCATGAGACCAAAGTCTATGTTTCAGGAATTCCCTGATGTCCTTCGGAATACAATTACTTTAGACCATGACATGTCAGGGATCCTGGGCAGTGCCAAGTTGGAAGGATGCCAACATTTTGGACTACATTCTACCTTTCGTAAGCCCTTGACATATTCAACAAGATTTTGCTGTTGATTACTTTAAGGGAGTGGTAGTGACAGTAATTGTGGTCATAGTCATAGTAAAATAAGAGCAAATGTTTACTGAGCAGTTACTGCCCACCAAGCATACTTGTAAACACGTTGCCTGTGTTATTTTAGTTAGTTCTCTGACTTTTACATGTCAGAACATCTACAGTGCCCATTTTACAAGTGAGGAAATCGGGGCAGAGAGGTGAAAAGTCCACACAGCCAGTGAGTGGTGGGGCCAACACTGACCCCAGGTCTGTCTCTAGAGCCTGGTGTCTTGAGCACCTTACCATTCCACAGCAGCAATAACATCTGGGCACCTCTGGACAGACTGGCTAACCTGGAGGAAATAGAGCTTGCTCTTTTCAGCACCTCTGAGAAGGTCATCGGCAAGTTATCACGAACTAAACATTGGTGCTTAACAGTTCCTCGTACCCAGAACACTCCCCCTTCTCTCAGTGGGTCTGTCATCTTCTTAAATACTCAGTAGCAAAAATTTGGTCGTACTTGACTGCAGGCTTTCTCTTCCTTACCCCTCCATGTCCAGTAGGCCAGCAAGAGCGTAACTCCTTTTGCCTTTCCCTCCCACCATATGCCATAAGTCACCAGATTCTGTCAGTTCTTCCTTTTTCATCATTTTTGCATCAGCCCCTTGTTCTCCATGACTGTTTACCCATTTCCTGGGCCACCACACACTTGAGTTTCTGGCATGGTTCCCTAAATTTTCAGATAGTCAGATCATTTGTCCTGGTTGTCTGCATTTAAGGAAACATGCAGAGCGTTTTATTAACTAACACTTGGGGCTCTGAAGGCCTTCACCAACTGATGTCTTGCCTTTCGCTTCTTCTGTTCTCCTCCTTCCCTCCCGGTCCTCATTGACAGAGTAATAATCTTCTTGAACAAAGTTTTCTGCACGCCAGTTCTACCCCTTAAAAATCTACTCCCTTTGCTTGTGGAATTCAGTGTTGACACTATACCACAGAATCCTAAAGCCAGAAGACACAGTAGAGTTTATCTACTACACTATTTCTCATGA